CTTCTCTATATAGATCTGCCTTTCCAATAAGAATAAACCTTTTTTTTTTTTTAAAGTAGGTCCGTGATTTTTGTGCATACACACACACACAGATTCGGTAGATGGAGTCAAGAAATGTATATTTTCAAGATGAAAACTTGCCAGTTAACCCTTATGTACACCCACACTTAGGGAGCATTGCTTTAGACTTTTGAAAACTTTTAATGTGCATTTATTTTCCCATTTAGTCGCTAAGCTTCCACAGGGTGTGTTTCCACAGTCTTTACATGGAAGAACTGATGAAGACAGAGGAGATGGCTAAAAAGGTGCGGACAGTTACTTGGGACACCCGTGTCCTGTATTGAACTGCTGTTTCAGTCTCAGTTCTGCATCTTATTACAGTTTCCTGCTTGTTGGTCCAGAGGCTGGGATCCTGCCTTTGAGCTCTCCAGCCCCAGGTGTTGCTAGGCCTGGGGAGCTTGAGCTAGCAGATGAGAGATTTCCTCTCTCTTAATCTCTGTCATTCAGATGTAAGTAAATATGTAACAAAGCAGCGGGCATCTTTTAAAAAGAGGATGAAGCTGATACATCCAAGGTTAAGTGGCAGATGAGGAGGAAGACTGGGGGTTAGGATTAACTCAGGTGTTAGCCAATTGTTCCCTGAGGACCTGTTCTGTATGGGGCATTGTGCTGGGGTTCCTGGAGGAAAGGGGAAAGGGCCTCCCCACTGCCTTTGCTTCTAATCACACCTACAAGGCTCTGGGCTTTTTGTTTGTTTTAATGAGCTATTCACATTGCAAGTGTGGAATGCAAACAAGGGCTTGCTTCTTCTAAAATAATTACCACCCTCTAAGTGAGGAGATGGTCCAGATAGTGCGGGGTAAAATTTAAGACCGTTCCTGAATGTTTATTTGTTCCATGTTTTTGCTTAGTAATTTTTACTGAATTTCTACCATGAAATTAGGTTAGTGTCAGGGTCTGGCTTAGAAGGCCTTAACCTCTTCCAAATAGATAAGCAAAAACTACTTGCTATGAGGTTCTTTAAGATAATTTGCTTCACCTTTGCTGCCATAACCAACACTACTCATAAGGCTCTGCTATGTAAGTATGAGGATGCTACTGACTATACTTGTTACTGCTTCTTTTTAAAAATAGCTTTTGGTGATTTTTTTCTGAAGATTTATTTATTCACTTGAAAAAGTGACAGAGAATGAGGTCTTCCATCCTCTGTGTTCCTCCTGAGATGGCCATATGGCCAGGGTTGGACTGGGCCAAAGCCAGGAGCTGCATAGTCCATCCCAGGTCTCCCAAACAGTTGGGCCATCGCCCATTGCTGTCAGAGGCGTATCAATGGGGAACTGGATAAAAGCACAGTAACTGGAGTGCAGACGGAGACCCAACCTGCTGTGCTCCAATGCTAGCTCTGTTATTATTTTAAAAAGGTCTCATTGCATTGGAGAGTGATGTGTGCTGGTGGGACGGACTGAGGCTGCTTCTGCAGCCTTGCTAGCTGGGTTCACCTGAAGCTGGACAGATGCATTCCTTAGCAGATTAAGACCTGAACATTGAACAGTACAGCTGCCTCAAATTCTTGGAAATTTTAGAATGACTGACACTTCTGAAGCTGTTAAAAATTTTGAAATGGTGTTTGCCGGCAGGTTCCCAGAAGATGATAAAGAGTGCCAGGAATACCTGACACCCCTCCCATTGTTCAGAGCAGGTAGGAACCAAAGAAATAGAAGCAGTCAGTTACAAGAGAACAGTTTAGAGGTAAGGGTGGAAGCTGAGGGTCGCCAAGTGACCATTGATCTAATTGGTGGCACGACAGTGTTACAGGGTGTGAGTGAGATCATGCCAGACAAGTCTAAGGTGATTAAGGAAATCAACACATGACAAGTCCATGTGACAGTCCAGTCTGAATGAAAACCCTGAGAAGAGCAAATGGTCATGACCCTGAAGTCCATCCGTTAAACTGAAGATATATGTCCCAGCTTCCCCAGCAATGTAAGTTGCCCTAAGAGACAAGTAATGAGTAACCTGGACACACTTACAAAGCTGCAGACATTCACCTTTCCCTGGCTCCTCTGCCCACGGTCCACTACTGCTAGGCCTCAAATCTCCTGGAACTCTTGATAGTACACAAATTAGAAATACAAAGCATCTTAGCATTAACATCTTTACTGTCCTGCCCAAGGAGTGAAAAGAGGGTGAGGAATACAGACACACAGGGGCCATGCTCAGGAGCTCCATGTTCTCAGAGTCTGTCCATAGGAAGTCAGAGAGCAAGCAGATACTGGCGCAGCCAAGAGTTGGAGTGCTAGAGATGGAAACACTAGACCAAGAGAGCAAGCCACCCCCTATCATGTGCCTTTATGGGGGCTTATGAGGGGCCTGGCTATACAGCAGTATTATACTGCCCCCTCTCAGGTTCAGGTAATAGGTGGGCAAAAGGGACCATATAAGTAGCTTCCAAACTTGTGTCCCTGAACTGGCTGACTATCCACAGCAATGATGCTGTGTTGACAGCTGCAACAGAGGCAAGAACTTGGTTATCCCCACCATTGGGGAGCGTTTGATGTGAAGCATGGCAGCAACCTTGTTTCTTGTCTCACATGAAAGAATTTTCATTCAGACAACTCTAGTTTGCAAAGCAGGATATTTAGAAAGAGGAGGGGAAAGGGCTTCTGCCATAGTGGCAGAAAGGGGCTCCAAGGGAGGAAAGACCTGAGGAGATCTAAGAGAGAAAGGGGGACATCTCCTCACATTGTGGCAAGAGGAAGATCCAAGGAAGGAAAAAAAAAAAGCCCTGATAAAACAGAAGAGATGGTGTGTCTCATTCATCATCTCAGGGAGTCAAAGAGCAAAACAAAACCTCATTTGCAGTGAGCAGCAGTGTCTTCCACCTGGTCCACAGCTAAAGGCCATCGGAAGGGTGGAACTGGTGACTTCCTCCTCCCATTCTGATGATAAGCTGACAGCTTTGACAGAGACCCAGAGATGAGCTTAGTGTGGGCTGCGCCTCCTTGCTCTTGTTAGGACAACAACTCTGAGATAGCGATTCTGTCCTTTGGTTCTCCTTCCAGGGAAGAACACACCTTGAAAGGTTAAGACGGAGGGAGAAGTACAGAAACCCTAAGTGCCTAGTATCCCGTGCGACTCCTCACACACCACCGTGACAGACACTGTGGTTACAACCAGTAGCCTCCCTGTGGTTACTACTGGCAGCTTTTTTTTTTTAATTGTTATTAACATTGTATTATGTGATACAGTTTTATAGGCACTGGGGATTCCCCTCCCATACCCCTCCCCCCATGGTGGATTCCTCCACCTTGCTGTATAACCACAGTTCAAGTTCAGTTGAGATTCCTTCCTTGCAAGCATATACCTAGCATAAAGTCCAGCATCTTATTGTCCAGATAAGTTCAGTGGCCTCTTGGGGAGACCTTCTCTGGTCTGAAGATAGGGCTAACAGAGTAAAGTTCCGGTCAGTTAAAAGCCCCCAACAAAACCTCAGTATCAATATACAACATTATGGAATTAATTGACATAGTATTGGGTAAACAATATGTTAAAAATAATGCAAGTTCCATTCTTCAAAACATCTGGGTTGTACTGGCAGCTTTTGATAAAGACATTGCTTCGTGAATGTAAATGACTTCATAGATATGTGATGCAGAGAAGTGGATACTCACCTGTTTGTAAATTGCTACATTATGAAGGCATTGTGGTTATTTATCAAAAATCCTAAAATACTCAGTTTGACTTCGTTCCTAAACCAGTAAATAAAAATGTATGTAGGGTGATATGTGAGTGTTGCTTTCAATGTTTCTGTTGTCACTGGCTAGCATCATCTCTTCTGTGTTAATCCTCTAATCCTTTCACCATACAATAGGCAGTATAAGCTATACAGTGCAAGTCTCATGGCCTCATTCTCCTGCTTAAAAATCCCTTGTTGCCCTCATTGCTCTTAGAGGGTTTCTCAGCATCCTACGCACTGTCTTTCATGTTACTTTTCTCACTGTTGGTCTCTTAATTCCTAGATTGCATCCCATTCTGAGTTTGCATCTTTGTGCTGTTTTTACTCCTGGAGCACTGCTGCATTTCACTAACCCATTGCAGAGGGTGGCCTGTGGTCTAGCCTCAGTAGTGTATTTCCGTCTAATCTTAGACTTCTGGGAATAATCAGCCTTGGCGACGTTCACTTATTTTAGACATAATTTCTACTGTTAGGGAAAGTATAACATATCTCAGCCGTGTTTTATCTACTAGTGCATAACTACTTTTAGTTCAGAATCCATTTGAAGTGAAAATGAATTGAATAACCTCACAGTGATAAGTGTGGCTTCCACTCGTAAAGGTATCTGGGCTCTGGGGAACAGGAACCTATAACTCTGACTAGGCTTAAACAGTGGCAAATTTTGTCTCACCTAATAGGAGGTTTCAGGTTTTTGTTCTGTTTTTTTAATTCAGGAGTTCCATTTTTACCTCAAGTTGCCTCTGCCCCACCTTGCTGCTCCCACTGGCCTCATCCTAAGGCTGCCATCCTTTGCGTTGGAAGATGAAGGCCCGCAGTGACTGAGGCAGCACACCATCCTTGTCAATACAGGATTGGCTTTTTCTTCTCAAAGGGTGTCTGTTTCTTTTTGGTCCAAGCTTTCCTTGCCCTTTGTGTCTCAAAGCAGCCAGTAGTGAAGGGGATGAGTTACTATGAGTCTCTTAGACTGATTATTTCTAAGTAGAATGGATGCTGGGAAGTCACTGAGTGTCCACAATTTTTTTTTTGCTAGTGGGGAAAATCAACAATACCATTCTGCTGGAAATTTCTTATAAAGGAAAAAATGTCCAACTGTTCTGTTTTTAAAAATTGTTCCAGCTCTGAGATGAGATCATTTTCATTCTCTCTCTCTCTCTCTCTCTCTCTCTCACACACACACACACACACGCACACGTGTACACACACATGCGCGTACAGCCTGAGTAATGTTGGTATAGTTAAACATAGAATCTTTTTCTCTCTTTAGATCCAGACGTTTAATGTGGATGCACCATGCCAGACTGTGGAAGATTTAACGAGTGGGGTTGTGATGGCCCAGGTTCTTCAAAAGATGTAAGGATAAGTGGCTTATCCTAACGGATGTTCTTGTACATGATGCTTACTTGTAAACAGTCGGGATAATTTTGTTGTTTTGTGCTTGTTAGGAATAGATTGAGTAGGTACATATTTAGTTAAGGCCGTAACTGTGATACCATGGTGGTTTTCGCAAAATTATTTCTTGTATTTCTTGGCAGAGATTATCATGTCAGGGACCATATTTTGCCATTGTAAATAGTCTTAGAGACATACTTCTCTTTTCTGTAGCATTTTGATCAAATGTTGTCTTAATGCTGAGTCTTTCTCTGACCTCCCATAGAAAATAGCATGGACCATTTTGCTATAATCTGTATCTATAATTTTTTGTGTTCTCTGGCATTTGTAATACCATTTGATATGCCAATGTATTTGGGTATTCATTTCTCTAGCTATCCCCCTGTATTCCTACACACACAATGCAAATTCCACACCAGGCCAGAGAGTTTGTTTTGTTCACTGTTCGGTCCCAGCAGCTAGAAAAATGCCTGATTTGTGGTTAAAGAGTACAAAATTAGCATTATTAATAGGTCAGGATGGTCAAATGTTAGTAGCAGTTAACTGGTGCTTTAAACTGTGTCATGGATGCTCATGTTTGTTAAATGAAGTATCTGTTTTGGGATTTATGAAACATGTATTCTTAATATTTTGAAAACAATGGCATAAAATTTATATTAAATGATTATCAACTTTGACATTTTGTAATAAAGAGTTGTGAATTTAAGAAGTTACTGAATTGGTGTGACTTCAGGATACTTTTATAAGTTGATGCTGTATGGATCCTGTAGCCTGAGGTTTTAAGACAAATGACTCTTTGTGGTTTCTACAGTGTTGTTGAGAATAAGTACCATCGTTGAATGAGTTGTTACTTACATTGTAACAAGCTCTAGAATTGACCCTGTTAGAAGCAACTCAAATGGCTGTTTTTCAGTTTAACACCATGATGAGCTATCACCTCACCATGTTAAAAGGCTGTTATATGAAAGACTAATAATAACAGGTGTTGGTGAGGTTAGAACAGAAAGAGCCTTTTGACACTGTGGGACTGCCACACTTCTGTGCACGCTTACATTCACTACACCCCTAATCAACAGAGTCAACCTGAGTGCTTATGATGCATAAATGAAGAGAAACTTGTGTGATTAAACAGTGAAATACTATTCAGCCTTTAAAAAGGAAGGAATTCTGTTTGCAGCTGCATGGATGAAGGTGGAAGACATCATCATGCTCAGTAAAATAAGCCATGCCCAGAAAGACAAGTGCTGTGTGATCCATCTCCTCTTAGTGTAACATCTGTGAAATAACTGGATTCATAGAAGCAAAGAGTAGACAGTGGGAAGGGGGGAAGGATAAGTGGAATGGAAAGATAATTCAAGTACAAAGCTTCGAAATAGGGAGAATTGTTCAATATTTATTTCAATGTGATATTATAGTAAATGAGTAAATTTCAGATGTTCCCACAGTAAAAAAAAAAAAAAATTGAGGTGATACGTATTAATTACTTTGATTTAAAGAAGCTGCAAGTTACACATTTATTATAACATCACTTTTTACCCTGTGAATATAAACATAATTTGTCCATTTACAGTGAGAAAAAAATTTGCTAAATTTATAATGTACTTTGTGTTCTATGAGCCACAATTTTGGGAGCTTTTTATCTTGAGTTTTCTACCTTTATTTTTCAGCAAAATGCTTTTCATTTCTGTTTCCTCTTGTTACAGTTTGACATTTACAGAAAATTATTTTTAAAAAGTGACAGGCTGTGTATGAGCAGTTTAGTGGAAGGTGCCTGCCTCCTGTGGCTTTCTCCAGCTCAAGCTTTTGTGGGACATTTCTGGGTGCAGACAGCTCCCTTCTTATGCTCCTTCCCTAGTCAGTACCTCTTTTTTAAAATTTTTTTAATAGTGATGTAGCTTCTCATGTCTTTTTTTTTTTTCAAGATTTATTTTTATTATGAAGTCAGATATACAGAGAAGAGGAGAGATAGAGAGGAAGATGTTCTGTTTGTTGATTCACTCCCCAAGTGACCTCAACAGCCAGAGCTGCACTGATCGAAAGCCAGGAGCCAGGAGCTTCCTCCAGGTCTCCCACACAGGTGCAGAATCCCAAGACTTTGGGCTGTCCTCAACTGCTTTCCCATGCCACAAACAGGGAGCTGGATGGGAACCAGGGTTGCCAGGATTAGAACTGGATACCATATGGGTTACCGGCGCATGCAAGGCAAGGACTTTAGCTGCTAGACTACTGTGCTGGGCCTGTCAGTACCTCTTAATGCCAGAGACAGCCACGATTCTGATGTCCACACTATTAACTACTTTGGCCTGTCTTTCAGCATCTTTTTTCTCTCTTTTTTTTTTTTTAAGATTTGTTTTTATTGGAAAGGCAGATATACAGAGAGGAGAGACAGAGAGGAAGATTTCCGTCCGATGATTCAGTCCCTAAGTGAGCACAACGTTCGATGCTATGCCGATCCGAAGCCAGGAGCCTCTTCCGGGTCTCCCACGCGGGTGCAGGGTCCCAAAGCTTTGGGCCGTCCTCTACTGCTTTTCCGGGCCACAGGCAGGGAGCTGGATGGGATGCGGGGCCGCCATATGGGATAGAACCGGCGCCCATATGGGATCCCGGCACATGCAAGGCCCTTAACCACTGCGCCACCACGCCGGTCCCCTTTTTTCTTTTTTTTTAAGATTTTTTTTTTTTTATTGGAAAGTCAGATATACAGAGAGGAGGTTCTACCATCCAATGATTCACTCCCCAAGTGAGCGCAACAACTGGAGCTGAGCCAGTCAGGAGCCAAGAACTCTTCCTGGTCTCCCATGCGGGTGCAAGGTCCCAAGGCTTTGGACTGTCCTCTACTGCTTTCCCAGGCCACAAGTAGGGAGCTGGATGGCAAGTGGGGCCACTGCGATTAGAACCGGCGCCTGTATGGGATCCTGGCGTGTTCAAGGCGAGGATTTTAGCCACTAGGCCACTGTGCCGGGCCCCTGTTTTTTAACATCTCATAAGTCGGATCATTCTGTATATTCTCTTCTGTGACTTTCTTTCAGGCAGAGATTTCATTCATGTTGTTTGATTTATCCATATCATACCTGTTTCAGTCAGCTGTGAAATATACCACCCTCACCAACATTTTATTACTCATGTGTGCATTTGATGTTGACCAAGTGGTCACTTTATTTCTAGCATTGGTTATACAGGATGAGCCTTGATTTATTTGCTGAAGGGAGTTAAGGAGTTTATAGTATCAGGAAGACCAGATTTTAATTAAGTAGGAAAAGAAAATGCTTCAGAGGAGAAGTACACAGTATTATGAAGGTTTGTAAAGTGGCAACGTAGTCTAGGAAGCCATGAGCACTGCACTTGAATAAGTAGAAATAAATTTAACTTGGAAGGTGATTACTGACAAATTTCTTAGCAGATGTCAGGGAGCATGCAGGAACCCTGAGGGATGACGGAGTGTGTGAATGCTGCTTGGTTGACGGGGCTAAAGCAGAAGGGGAGCATGGTATAAAATGAAGATGGGAAGGTAGCTACCAGCAGGAGATTGTGGTGATTTGAATGGGGTTAGTGAAAGGAGATGTCAAGGTTGGAGGAGTGCTGGGTGTGTCATGAGCTCAGTCTGGGGAATGTTGAAGATGAATGTGAGAGACATCAAGGGAATATGCAGCTAGCATAGACAGGGAATCTGTTCATTTGTGGAGTTGCCAGTCTCAGATGGGAGCTACTAGAGGAGAGCTTTATTGTGATAGGTAAAGGAGAGAGCAGGAAGTTACTGTTCCCTAAACAGACTGTATCTCTGGAGAAGCAGTTTGCTAAGAGTTATATATCTAGGGTTAAGGGATCGTTCAGGTTGCAGGAGAAGGGGAGCAGCAGAGCTTTGCCTGCTGGGTCAACACCCACCTCCACACCTGTATATTGAAACTCATTCAGGGCCTCATGTGGTGGCTCGATTGATTCATCCTCCTCCTTAAAGTGCTGAATCCCTTAAGGGTACTGCTTCATGTCCTGGCTACTCCACTTCCCGTCCAGTTACCTGTGTATGGCCTGGGAAAGCAGTAGGTAGTGGCCCAAGTCCTTGGAACCCTGCACACACACGTGGGAAACCTATTAGAGACTTCTTGCTCCTGGTCTGTGATCAGCTCAGTAATGGCTGTTGTGGCCATTTGGGAAGTGAACCAGCAGATGGAAGATCTTTGTCTTTGTCTCTCTCTCTGTAAATCTTTTAAATGAAAAATAAAATAAACAAAAAGAATCAATATAATAAACTCATTCAAAGTGGGTTTTGCAGTTTTCCTTGGTTGACTGATGATTTGGCTAGGTTGAGCGGAGAACTCAGTCTGAGTCTTCGTCGTCAATGGCAGGATCATAATGGCTTGAGCCATCACCTGCTGCCTTGCAGGGTCTACATTAGCAGGAAGCTGGAGCCAGGAGCTGCAGCAGCGGAGTAGATGCAGGCATTCTTTTTTTTTTTTTTTTTTTTTAAAGATTTATTTTTTTTATTATTTTTTCGTTGGAAAGACGGATATACAGAGAGGAGAGACAGAGACGAAGATCTTCCGTCCGATGGTTCACTCCCCAAGTGAGCGCAACGGGCCGATACTATGCCGGTCCGAAGCCAGGAGCCTCTTCCAGGTCTCCCACGCGGGTGCAGGTTCCCAAAGCTTTGGGCCGTCCTCGACTGCTTTCCCAGGCCACAGGCAGGGAGCTGGAAGGGAAGCGGGGCTGCCGGGATTAGAACCGGCGCCCATATGGGATCCCGGGCGTGCAAGGCGAGGACCTTTAACCACTTGCGCCACCACGCCGGGCCCGATGCAGGCATTCTAATATAGTATGCTACTGTGTTGATAGGCATCCTAACTCCAGACCAAATACCCAGCCTTTAAACTTGGAGTTTTGATACAGGAGGCATGGTTGGAATCATTGGCCAGTTCTACTCGCCTTCCTGGAAGTCAGCCTCTAATTGCGCAGTTGTTTATGGT